ACACTTCTGACGTCTTAGTGATGATTCAACACCATCACTTGATAAGACACCAGAAGTGTTGAAACATAATGGCTATTTTTGTAGAGATGTTATAACATGTTTGTTATAATTTTGAATAAATTATATATATATATATATATATATATATATATATATATATATATATATCCTCCAGTGCTTTTAGTAGTAGATATGCTCGCCTGTCGCGCAGTTTCAAACCCCTTTCCCAGACATTTGAATAGGAATAAATGTGTATCCATTCTTTCTTGTTTATGATTCGGTTTCTGATTCCTTCTGATAAAGCCTTCCCATTCTCTTTCACCCCCAGTAGCACCTTGCGTCTTAGTGGTATTCTCACCTTTCTAGACATGAAATGATAAAAACACTTATTCACGCACCGGACGGGACATACTTTTACCTATAGAATTGACTCAGTTCCTGTTGACGAAATATGATTTTGTTCTTGAAGGACTCTTTGGAAATTTAGGTCCAAGGTTTTTTTTATATTCTATAATTCATCTAGATTTGTTGGCTGCACATCGAGTATTCGAATCTCGCTTTCCACCACATCCCGAAGGTGCTCTATGGGATCAAAATCGTGTGCGTGTGGAGGACACTTTAAGAGAGAAAAACTATTTGTATCCCATGAATAATATTTTTTTTAATTTTTGACTTTGTTGTCCTTTTGGAAGTTTTCACCAGAAGATGGATTCTCCGGAGTCACAAGTAGAGGCACAAGTTCAGCGACAACACATGAGTACTCTGAGGCATTTCAATAATAATTTGATTGAACTAATGCTACTAATATATACCAAGAAAATAATCTTTGTACCATCACAACAGCCTAAACTATTGATACAAAACAGGATGGGTTCATACTTTCATGTTGTTTGTCCCAAATTCTCCCCCTAATATCCGAAAGTAGCAGAAGATATTTTTCCAATCTTCTATTGTGCACTTTTTGTGTATTGTATCAGTTTCTTTTTATTATCTGAGAAGAGCGGTATGCATCATCGTGTTCTGCTGCCGTAGCTCATCAGATTCAAGGTTCAATATGTTGTGACTCCAGAGATTCTCTCCTGTATATCTATTTTGCTAAGAGTAATTATTCGATCTACTGTTGCTTTTCTATCAGCTTGAACCATTCTTCGATTTTTTTCACCAACAATGGAATTTCCACTTACAGCATTGTTGCCTACTGGTATGCTGTCTTTCTTTTCTTTTTCTGATCCTTCATTTCAAAACCTTGGTAGATGTTTTTGAAATACACAGACCGGGCCGCCTGGCACCAATAACTATGCTTCATCTCATAAAACCTCTTTCACATACTAATGCATGAAATGAAATTCAGCATTTTGCTATGACCATGTTTAAATGTCCCTATCAATTAAATTGATGCCACGTCATTGACTAATTAGATATTTGCGGAAAAGCGTATATACGAGCGAAATTTGTTCGCTTGGGCCTTGAACATTTCGATATTACTACAACTCGTCAGGTAATTTGATAGTTAACAATATTCAGTAGCTCAGGCGACGAATTTATTATTATTATAATTGTTGCTATTATTATTATTATTATTATTATCATTAGTAGTAGTAGTAGTAAAGGTTTTCCTCTTTAGATTGAGCGTTACATCTAATTAGGGTGCTTGATTTAAATAGGTTATATTCCAGTATTTACCGGACGATCGATTTGGGGCGAAATATAATATTTGCTTCACACACACACATACACACACACACACACACACACACACACATATATATATATATATATTGGTGTGATCAAATAACAGACGACCGAATATCTTAGATAAGGAAATAATCTCGAACAAGGAAAGAAAAAAGAGCCAAAAGGCAAATGCTGAGACAAGTAAATAAAAGTGTGCAACACTTAGACTCTCGAGGCAGAGCAAAAAAACGCTTCACAACATCTAAACTCAACAAAGGTCAGCACGAGACGCTAATAAAAGTTTCACGCTCTCGCGATCGTCAGGTGACTAAGAGGTAAATCTCTGTCACTCAGGCCCCCCTCTCTCGCTATATATATATATATATATATATATATGTGTGTGTGTGTGTGTGTGTGTGTGTGTGTGTGTGTGTGTGTGTGTGTGTGTGTGTTATATTGCTTTGTGACAGTATAATACAAATATATGTCTCTCTCTCTCTAGATATATATCTATATCTATTCGCCTATATATATATATATATATATATATATATATATATATATATATATATATAGCCAGTTCACCCTGATGATTTCATGTGGTGAGACCTAGGTAGGTAGTACCTGGCTCAGTCGGATTTATTTATTTTATATTTGTTCTACGTAGTGTATTGAGCACTCTTCGTTTTAACTTATTACTCGCTTGGGAGGGCGGGGCTTTGAACCAGAGATTTAAGGTACGTTTTTTTTTTCGCCCTGTTCGGAGGTTTCTGGTGCTTTTACCTTTTTTTTCATTTTTCCTCAGTTGCCAATTTATTTGAAAATTGTGCTATCCAGGTTTTTCACCCACCGAGTTTATACACACACACACACACACACACACACACACACACATATATATATATATATATATATATATATTCATACGTTTCATTAAATAATATAGACAAGTGTTGTCTATTTATTTTATGTAAATTCTTTTCATAACGTCTGATAAGTTCAATGGCATTATCATTAAACGAAGAAAGAAAATCGCAATATTGATACATACTTTTTAATCCAATCTAAGCTTTCGGCTTACATAAGCCATTATCAAAGATGACAATTACTGTACAATATATTAAGCAATACACGGACAAGAATGTGATGATAGTCTGTTTTTGTTTACATGGATGATTTCCAAGCAACGATAAACGCTGGAAGCGACAATCGCACCGCAGCTTGTGACGTCACACATTACCACGCGAGAGTGAATTCGAGAAGTATTAAGTATGGGAAGCCATTGGTATAAACCAATGGCTTCTGTTACCAATTATTTAAGGATATTTGTGGAGATTTCATAGTTGATTTTGTTTAGGTTAGGTTTCAACTGTTTTATGTATATAGCTTCAAGAATTTTTAAAACCTTATAGTATAATTGTGTTTTTTGGAATATATATATATATATATATATACAAACAATATATATATATATATATATATATATATATACACACACACACATATATATATATATATATATATATATATATATATATATATATACAATTCACAACACACACACACACACACACACACACACATATATATATATATATATATATATATATATATATATATATATATATATACAATAACCCCAAAAGATTAGATATATTCTCTGGATTTCAAAGAATCGCCCAAAGAATTAAGGTTTTATCATATATCCAGTAATAATAATAATAATAATAATAATAATAATAATAACAGCGACATTAACCCATTACGACCGAATGTTTTCTACAAAATTTAGCTCTGTCTAATGTACGTTGCAATCAAATTGCGGTCTTTAAATGCTAGCTAATGCTCCTCCCGCTTGGACGATATCCACTGATGGTCTAAATAGTTTCAGCATCCTAGTTTAATTAAACTAAAGCAGGTATGAATCATACTAATTATCAACTCCAGAGGCTGGCTCTAAATATTTGGCCCATAATAAATATTTTTATAACTATATTTAAATATATACCACGACACAAACACTGATATTTGGTTCGATATTTTGCCATATAAACAGAATAACAAGAGATTTTTATGATTTGCTGATCGCTAGAGAGAGAATTATTTCTTTACTTTATGAGTTATTATATGAGGTTTTAACATCTTGGCTATTAAAAATATAGCCCTGGCTACTATATATATATATATATATATATATATATATATATATATATATATATATATAATGCCGAAGTATATTTACGGGATATGTTCATGTACATTGGTGGGGGGAGGACAAGTTTTGCTTACTTTTGCTTTCGTCTGACTAAAAGCTGACAGAACGTAGGACAGGAAAAAAATCCCGTTTTCTCCCAGAATCCCTGGACAAATAATATTGAAAGCGATGTGTTTCACTTGAGACAGCAACGCCTATTAAAAAAAATACACCTATACGGCAATGCGCAAATACATATATAAATCTCTCTCTCTCAATTACACGTGCACACACACACACCTATACCTATATACACACATAGAACATTTTTTAAGAATAAAATATAGGATTTTCTTTGTTCTTTTTTAGACGCATATCAACACCTATGGATTATTTAAAGCCAAAATTTAAATATTTTGAACGCAATTTTATTTTATTTATTTGCTGGAAATTATAATGGTTCTTATAGTAAAATTCTTACTAATTAACCCATAGCTGGGGACTGAAGAGGTGGATTTGTACCTTTCCCAATGGTATTTACGCGTAAGTGAATATAACGAACACAAGTGGAATTCAAACTCTGCTCGCTGATTAACAATTCCGAGCCATTATCCATTATGCCATCCACACACCCAACCTTAGAACACCTGGTATTTCCAAGCTGTCACCGATCTACCTACTGATCAGATTCGACGTTGCTTAACCTCGATGATCGTACAGATGATCTGATAATATAAAATTCTAAATTTCTGTTTATCTCGTTTTCTTATAGGAAAATGAATACTTGGGCTTTTTCATCTATACGTCATAGATTTAGGTTCAGATTTAGGCCTCATAAGACCCCTGGGCTAATAGAATTTTTGGGTCCTTTCGAGGTGTCCTGTCATTACGTATGCTCGACACCCCTATGTTTATAAAGAAAAGAAATATTTTTAGATGAAGATACAATAAATATATAATTATGTGTATGTGTTTGTATGTCTGTGTGTTTGTATAAGATTCCTGAAAATATAAATGAGGTCACTTTATCGAATTTAAAAACCCATTCCAACTAGAGGAGCTCAAAGTGTTTCAAATTAGTTCAAAGGAACCCCATCATATTTGAAAATAAACAAATCTCCTCTGTTTTCAGTCTCTCCTCTCTTTTTCAGTCTCTCCTCTCTTTTCTGTTTCTCCTCTCTTTTCTGTTTCTCCTCTCTTTTTCAGTCTCTCCTCTCTTTTCTGTTTCTCCTCTCTTTTTCAGTCTCTCCTCTTTTTCTGTTTCTCCTCTCTTTTTCAGTCTCTCCTCTCTTTTCTGTTTCTCCTCTTTTCAGTCTCTCCCTCTTTTCTGTTTCTCCTCTCTTTTCAGTCTCTCCTCTCTTTTCTGTTTCTCCTCTCTTTTTCAGTCTCTCCTCTCTTTTCTGTTTCTCCTCTCTTTTTCAGTCTCTCCTCTCTTTTCTGTTTCTCCTCTCTTTTTCAGTCTCTCCTCTCTTTTCTGTTTCTCCTCTCTTTTTCAGTCTCTCCTCTCTTTTCTGTTTCTCCTCTCTTTTTCAGTCTCTCCTCTCTTTTCTGTTTCTCCTCTCTTTTTCAGTCTCTCCTCTCTTTTTTTAGTCTTTATTCTTTTTTCTGTCTCTCCTCTTTTTTCAACCTCTCATCTCTTTTTCTGTCTCTGCTTTTTTTCAACCTCTTCTCTCTTTTTCTGTCTCACCTCTCTCTTTCAGTCTTTCCTCTCTTATATATATATATATATATATATATATATATATATTCTTATACTGACGTATAATTTTTTTGGGAAATGAGAGCAATATTTTAAGTAATATATATATATATATATATATATATATAGACAGCACATATTCATTCAAGCATGTTTGTTTGAATAATCTAGTCATATTATCTATCTTTTTATTTAATGTTAATCCACTCAAATTCACGGATTAATATCTTAGTGCTGTTACAAAACTGATTAAGATAGACGCCGTAGTTTGGGTTATTTCTTTTATTGTCTCAAGTGGTTTCAATCTCATCCAAGATTATCTTCAGGCGTGAATTTCTAAGCCAAAAAATTTATATCATTAATAGTTGTGAATTTCTGTAACAGCACTAAGAAATTCAAACGCACGTGCACACACACAAATACACGTACACACACAAACACACACACGCATACACACTCACACTACCAGTATTGGACACTAACATATAGTAAGCTCCGCTTACACTATCTCTGTAACCTGTTGTTAATATATCTTTCTTGCATCTAATCCGTGTTTTCCTTCTGTGGTCCTGACTTTGGCCCCACATCAATATATATATATATATATATATATATATATATATATATATATATATATATATATATGAAGAAATAACTCTGAAGGTGTGCTTTATTTACGAGATAAAGTATTCAGTATCAGAGATAGAGCGTGTAAATAAATACATACATACATATATATATATATATATATATATATATATATATATAAGGACGGTACAATGAAATTTCATTCATGTTTCGTTTTGCCTGAGTTTATATCAATTCTGTTTTTCATGCATTTGTCACAATTTTATCAAATATGATATTCTAATATTTGTCTGAATAATAATAATAATAATAATAATAATGTAAAATGTGTGTGATATTAGTTTTTTTAGTTTTTTTATCTCAAAAATCCTTAGTGGAAAATGTTATGACGCCATAATCACTATTTGGGATCCAGAAAGAAATAAGTATACAACAGAAATCAAAGGAAATAAATAATAATTAATTATTACTGACCAGATTATCATATTATTATTCGGAAGATTATCTTTCATTATTGACATGATTATCATATTATTATTGGCTACTTGGTAATCTTTAATAGACGGATCCACAATAAAATGCTGTGTGAAAAGGACTGTTTTTCTCTTGACACTGCTATGACTTTCTATTCTGTCAGCATTTTTTATTTATTTAAAAAACTATTTTTAGAATTTTAATAAAAACCAAACTTATGAATTATATATTCTCTTTTATCTCGAGAACTGACAACAAAATTATTAAACATTATTTTTTTTAGATTTATGTTTTTATTTACAAAAATAAATTTATATTTAAAAATTTATGGTCAAGATCCTAGTATTTGAGATAAACTAATTTACTTAGGATTAGGACTTTTATGTTGTTGCTGTTAGAAGTGTTATTGGAGTGTCAAGGTTTTTGAATTTATGGATTTATTCAGCTCATTTTCTAACGCTGAAGATGAAATGATGTGAGTATTGAAGAAATTTAAATATTTTCTCCATGTATTTCTCTTCTTTACCTCAGTATTCTAGGAGCTCTGAGGCAGAATCCTATGATTAATCCGGAATTTATGTTTTGATTGTGGTCGGAATAGAAATTAATTAAATCGTTTTTATTACTGACTTTACGGTAAACTCTAAAATCTTATCTATTATCGTTACGTATTAATAAGATTCTGAGGAAAAGTAAAGATTTGTTTATATCAAATTCCTGATGATAGGTTCAAATTCGATGGTAGGTTCAACCTTATTAATTTTCTTTATTACGTCAAATAGATTTATATTATGAGGATATAAAAGAACGTTGTTTATGTATCATAGATAAGTGGAATTGTTAGGTATGATTGGTTTAAATGGACAGGACTCTAAAAATTCTAAAGAAAGACTAGCATGGCACCACGAATTCTTACTTATAGAAATTTTTATTGAAAGAAAAGAAACAGTAGTTAGTAATTAATTTAATAATTTTATAATTTATGGACAAGTGGAGAAAGCTTCTCTCTGTATTTTTAGGTGATTTCTCAATATATTAAGGCATTTTGTAATGGCATTTTGTAATGGGTATATTTGTGTATAGTGATTTGATATCTAAGTTAGTTATAAACTTGCCTTCCATCTTTATGTTACATATGTTCTGGATTAAGTCACCATAATGTTTAATGTGTTTGGGGTTGATGGTGACTCAGAACTGAGTTAGAATTTTAACAATAAATTTAGCTAATTTGTAGGGTTCACTATTGATTCTGCTACACAATGTGTTTGATGTATATGTTGTGTTCAGTTTGGTTGATTTTGTTTAGCGGCATATCAACACCTCTATGGGTTATTTAATGCTGAAATGCTCCAACTACAAATAAAATATATTGTTGGTCATTTTGCTATAATATTTATTATTGGTACTTCTGCTTTAAAAATGTATTGTTTGCTGTTCTACAATAAATATGTATCGTTGATAATTATTTTATATAAAAGTATTGCTGGTATTTTTACTTAAGAATTTATAATTTCATAGTGTTTATGTTGAGTTAATATGTTTTGGGGGAGCCGTATAGTGTATTTATAGTAGAGTGGTCTTCTATAAATCTAGTCCAGGATTTGTTTTTATTTTTTAATAATTTCTTCCTTGTTTTGTTGCATTTTTGTGTGTCTATATTGATCGCTTATTCCTTGGTCTTATGTAAGTCTTGTCGTGTGAGGGATTCTAATTTTTTAATGTAGTCGTTGGGATCCATTATAAGTTTTCTCCCTCCTTTATTGAATGGGCTTAAGATTATGTTTTTTATTCATGAATAGTTTTTTTTTTAATGCCAGTAATACGTGAATGTGTCTTCTCACCAGACTTATTTAACCTTTACAGTGAGGAGATTCCGAGAGAACTACTAGTCCTACCAGGATTCATTATTTACGGCCAAAATCATAACAATATAAAATATATAAATGACAGTGTTGATAGCAAGCACAGAAAGAAAACTGCAAAAACTCCTACAGTAGGTATTGAAGGAGAGCGAGAAGAAAGGACTAACCATCAACTGCAAGAAGAAAGAATGTATGGTTGTTAGCAAAAGGTTGAGCCCAAAATGCGAATTTCAAATCGGGGTTATTCAGGTTTTGGATCAGACAAGCAAATTAGCGATAGTTTTAAAAGCCCTAGAACCACGCATGCGCTTTATCTAAATTGCAAATGGCGGCTCCGATCGGGCAGGCGAGACATCGTGACCTCTTCGCCACGTGTAGGTTAGAATTCTTTGGTCCTCTTTCGCCACAAAGACAAGGAGATCAAACTTAAATTTGACAAATAACAGAAATGCTTCATTTGAGAAATTGGTAGAATGTTTCTGTCGTGGAATCCCCAGATAATAACGAACTTGACGTCGAAAAGAACATGCATGCTTTCATAAGCGACATCATTTCGACATCACTGCCTCATTTCGGGTTTATGTATTTGCTTGCAACATAGACTTTGTTTTTTCCTACAGACGCCCTTACAGTTATGCTAATGCTGGAATATTTAAATCTGTCAACCCACTTTTTCGGAGTCAGTTCGGTGCTTCCAAAGAGACCCGCCCTTCTTGAACAAATTCCAAAATAAACGTGTCAATGAAACCGGAATAATAATAATAAATAAATAAAACTATTCCAGTAATCGACACGACGGTCACTGTTTGAAAACACCTTGAAAAACAAAAAAGAGTCGACTCTGAGTGACACACTGTTTCCTAAGTGCAACGATAAAAGAAAATTTACTCTTTGAAGTCCAGTTATACGCCCGTCGAGTATTTGTCAGACGAAGACGTGTACAAAATAGTTTAGTAGTTTCCTGCGTCGGAGATCGGTGTTTGAGCGTATAAGAAGCTACTATTTCGAAGGTTGATTTTCATGCGAGTGTTTCTGAATTGTGAACACTGATGCAAAACTGTCTTTCTAACCTAATTTCGCTGTATCTTGCCTTCTGCAGCAATTATTTACTTAGCTTAAGGCTTGAAATTATCAAAAGTATTCTGATTAGAAATAAAAATTGTGCTGAAAATTGTTTGTTTTGGTTTGGTTTGTTTTGTTTTACTGCATATCAACCTCAATGGGTTATTTAATGCCGACAAGATTTTTATTGCTGGTAATATTCTTTTCAAAAATATATTGCTGTTAATATTTTTTTCAAAAATATATTGCTGGTAATATTATTTTTCAAAAATATATTCATGGTAAAAAATTTTCCCCCCAAAATATTGCTGGTATTAAAACGTATTTTTATATTTTCACTGTGTTTTGACCACTTTTGGGGAGTTAACTATTTGCCCATAGCTAGGACCCTGACAGGTGCTACCACCGCGTGTCAGGGTGAACCTGGGAACACCAGCAATTAAGAAAAGGTTCCACGCTCTTCAAAACCTCCTGATCAAAGGCCTTTCTGTCGGATGTGGTCTTACGCAGGACGCCTGAAAATTGTGACATGAGTTCGGAATTTCGTTGCTGCGCCGTCATATTATAAAATTTTGTTTGCTTCCTTCGTAGCTAAATGGTATAGCACGTGCTGAAAGTGCGGATATTTATTTACTTACTCTCACATATATATATATATATATATATATATATATATATATATATATATATATATATATATATAATATACAAAAATGGACTAAGTCCGATAATTATTTTAATATATATATTGTTTGTACATTATTTTATATATACAAATATTTGAGTAAATGCTCTGTTTATAATAAACAGTATTAACAACATTTACCATCCTGAGAAATTTCATAGAAAATACGCATCCTCCGACAGGAATCGAAACTGTATCCTACACGGAACCGCCATATAGCCTGACGTGGTTTAACATTTAGCTAGGAAGGAAGCGTCTGATTAGCAAGGTCGAGTTACTGCTATTAAATTACAAATTTCTCATGATTTCCTTCGAACGTTCATATCTACTAGAAGTGTATCTTAACGTAAACAAATGATGTCATATATTATGAAATGGACTAAGTCAGATAACTATTTTAATATATTTTATTGTTATACGTTATTTATATATGCACAGATATTTAAGTAAATGCTCTGGTTATAATAATCAGTATTAACAACATTTAATATATTCATATAATTTAAACTCGGCCTTGTGCCACATCTTGCTGCTGGGGCAGCGGGTAAATAATTATAACAGTTTTATGTTATAATATTCGAATAAATTATTATATTTGCTCTACTCTGTATTGAGCACTCTTTTAATAATAGTATTTGAAGGTTATTGGAATTTATTTCGTATACACCAATCCTATACTTATATATATATATATATATATATATATATATATATATATATATATATATATATATATCCTGGTAAAGGTTTAAAAATATATATCAACCCTCCAGTAAATAATATTTATTATAGTAAATAATATATCATACATTATTTACATTTGACTATAATACACTCAGAAATACCCCCCTTTGAAAACACAGAGACACATTTTTGTAGTAAAAATCTATGACAAAGGGCAATATATTTTTTGTGCACCTCATTTCGACATTTAGGATCTCGTCGAATTGATGTTTACGTTGATCTGATTACACATGTACATGAAGGAGTGGAGGGTTCTAGTATTTTAAATTTGATTTTTTTTTTTAAAAATGTATTTAGATAAATAGTTTATCCGATTTCATTTAAATTCTTTTTCTTTTTGTTCAATATTTTTATCATTTTTGTTATTAAATATCCCACATTGTCATAATCGAAGAATTGCTTGCAAAGTTAAATTTAAGAACTTGGTTGCAAATTGACCGTGAATACTCTGGCGATTAAAGCCGATTCTATGCAATTTTTGTTTTAGTTGATTGTTTTCTGTTTTAAATGAACTAATAATGCAAATTATCTTTTAATTAAATTACACACACACATATATATGTGTGTGTGTCTATTTGGCTCTTTGTTGTTGAAATAGAGGAAGAGTATTTAGTCTCTGAGTATGCATGCATATATATATGTTAACGTAAGTATGTAATTATAGATGATGTATATGTCCTGTGGACTCACCTAAGCGTTGTTGCTCTGGTATTTACAAGGTAGAATTACTAGCCCACGTTCAACCAGTTTTCATTCATAATTGTCCTTCTTCTAGACTGGTTACCGACCAGTGATAGAGAGTCTTGATATTAAGCACTAGCTGGGAGGAAGACATGGATTCATGCCTTTTCCAATGAGTTTCTATAAAAGCAAACTCAACGGCTTCCGTTAGATTTTTAAATCGCCACGACAATGCCAACTTTCATGTGAATCATCACAGTTTTATGCGCACATGCATATTATATCTGCAGAGTCATATGAATTTTATATTGAGTTTTCTTATGTAATTTACGAGAAATAAAAGAAATAAACAAATGAAATTCTTGCCCAGATATTTGACCTTTTGTTTTGCAAACCACAAAAAAGAAATTGACTCTAAGAATCACATTCAGCCGAATTTTGTTTTGAAGAGTTTTTGCTTTTGAAGAATAACATTTGCAATCTGACCGAATATCTTTGATGGTGTTATCATAGCTTTTTACTTTTTTCTTTTTTGATGTGATTTTTTGCTTTCTTTCTTTCCATTTTTTCCGTTTCAGTTTTTTTTTACATTCTTCCTTTCTTTCTTTTTTGTGTCTTGTTTTTTTCTCTTTTTCCCTTACTTTTCTCATGTTTTTCTTTATTTGACTGTTTCTTTCTTTCTTTCTTTCTTTCTTTCTTTCTTTCCTTCATTCTTTCTTTTAATTCATTTTCTTTCTTCGCTTTCTTACATTTTTAAGCTATTTTCTTTCACTTTCTTTTTATTCATTTACTTTCTTCTCACTTTCTTACTTTTGAGCCATTTTCTTCATTTTTCTTCTTGGATATCATTTTCTTTGTTTTAATCTTTATTATTCTTTTCTCCATCTTACCATTTTCTTATGTCTTTCTTTTTTCTTTTCTTAATCCATTTTCTTTCATTCTTTTTTTTTCTTCTTTCTTTTTTTGCTATTCCCTTTGTTTTAATCCCTTTTCCTTTCTCTCTTATTTTTTGGTCATTTTCTTTATTAATTTCTTTTAATGAATTTTCTTCCTTCTCTCTTTCTTACCTTGAAACCATTTTCTTTCATTCTCTCTTTTTCTTTCTCTCTTTTATGCCATTTTACCTATTAATCCACTTTCATTCTTCCTGGGTTACTCTTAACCATTTCTTTCTAATGGGAAATAGCATATATGTGACTGAATAAGTCTATTTACAAATATCTAAATGTTGCAGTCCTTTGTATGACGATAAACTACATCCGGCAGCAAGGCCTCTGTTTAGGAAGTTTTCAGGAACGTGGAACCACATCTTAATTGCTGATGTTCCCATGTCCACCCCGACCCGAGGTGGGAGAACCCATTAGGGTCCTATCTTTGGGCAAATAGTTAACCCCCACCAGGAAAGTGTTAAAATAGGTTTTAGTACCAATAATGCATTTTTGAAAGAAATCTGTTATCAGCAATACGTTTTGGAAAAAATACCATCAATACATTTTTGAAGGAAGTACATTATTTCCAGCAATATGTTTTGGAAAAAATATTACAAGCAGTATAAATCTTGTCGGCATTAAATAACCCATTGATGTTGATAAGCCGTAAAACAAACCAATCCAAATCTAAATATTGTCTCTGGAATCCCATTTAAAATCCTTGCGAACTTTTATTCCTACCTAACTTTTTTATTTTGCTAGAAGGGGTCTTCAATCATTTCAGATGTGATTTTATTTTATTGCCTTTACATAATGGAACAACATACATTTACGACTGACCAAACTAGGCCTCATTTCCATCTAAACACTGTTCAAATATTCTAAGTTTTGAAAAACGATGTTATGCATTTTTTAACTCACAGTGGACTGACTCAATCCGACCAGGCACTTGCACAAACTTTCTTTAGATTCGAATCCTGCCGGGAAGGGGGGGGGGCATATTTGTCTTTAATAAGATTTCTCGAATATCCAGGCCGAATTTAAAATACTGTTTGAAAAAAGAGCGTCGACCCAAGTATGGGTATCCAGTAAAAATAGCGTTTATATATATATATATATATATATATATATAATACAACTGATGCACATTCAACTGATGGACATTCAACATCATCACTTTTGAAACAAAATGGCTATTTTTGTAGTGATTTTATAACATAGTGCTCAATATCAGAGATAGAGCGTATGTAAATATAAAATTGAACATAGAAGTCATCACTTAGAGGCGACATATATATATATAATCATCTAGGCGCGATCAACCCAAAAGACGCCAGCGGTGGAAAAAGTGGAAAGCGGTTACAACAAATCTCACCAGCGGATGAAGAGGACTACGCATGACGGACATGCTACAGAAGGCGCCACTCGAAATTATGACCGAGTCAGCGGCAGTCAATTTCATTTTCATTTTCCTAACTCAATTCTCCATGTCTTATTTCATATGTGCCGCAGACGAAGGTTATGAAGTCAAGCGCGTGTGGCTCACATCCTGGCAAGTTAATGTCCACCTTAAACAATTTCCCGCCATCGGCACTTTCTTTTTCTTTCACCTCCGACCAACACTTGCAAAGCCAAACGCCAATAGGGAATGGATGATGGGAGAATATTTTAGTGAAACTGGAAGCTTCTAGTCCTGAACATGCGCGTTGGCGTCGAATTTAGTCATCAATGCCATTATAAATGAAGCGATCGGTAAAGTAGAAATTAAATTCATGGATATCAGATAAAGTTTCCGCCCTGATATATATATATATATATATATATATATATATATATATATATATATATATATATATATATATATATATATATATATATATATATATATATATATATATATATATATAAATCCAACCTTTACCGGCCTGAATGTCCGAAAAATTTTCATAGAAAATATTCGTCCCCTGACAGGAATCGTATCCTATACGGAACCGTCATTTATAGGATATAGGTTCGATTCCTGTCGAGGGACGAATATTTTCTATGAGAATTTCTCGGACATTCAATCCTGTAAATGTTGTTTAATACTGTTTATTAAACAGAGCATTTACTTAAATATTTGTATCTATAAAACATAAAAATGTCTTAATTATCGGACTTGTCCATTTCATAATATATATATATATATATATATATATATATATATATATATATATATATATATATATATATATATATATATATATATATATATATATATATATATATATATATATATTTTTCTCTATATAACTATTACTCTGTCATTATCTTTATTCCTATCTCACACTTTTTTTTTTTTTTTCTATCTGTTACTATTTATTGATACTATCACTTCTTTGTTTATCTTCCAATGGTAACTCTTCCCAATGGGACAAATATTTTATTATTTTTTGTTGTTGTTTTTTTGTTGTTGTTTTTTGTTGTTTTTTTTAGTTTTTTGGGGGTTTTTTCACTGCACTCCTCGGACGCTGATCTGAAAGGGTTTTTAATCTCACATTGCCGCGGGCAACAGCTAGACAGCAAATTATCAGGCGGTCATATGAAAAACCGCGAAAAGAATGTCAATGTGAAAATCAACGCTGCCTTATTTTTCCTTTTGATTATCTTTTCTGTTTTTGCTCTCGTCTCCTTGAAACAACGACGGAAAATGATTCTATTTTCTAGATCAGGTGTTTGAATCAAATGTACGAGATGCTTGCTGAAAATATCTTGATCGGGACCCACTTCCCAAAATCAATATGTGGAGTCAGTGAAATGAAGATATTTGCAAGTGGATCGTGCCCACGGCTTTTCATCACATCTTTTTACATTAAACAAAAAGTGTAAGCGTAAATGACTGTTTCTTCTTATATGTATATATCTGTATGGGAATTAAGATAGAGAAAGAGAGAGAGGGAGAGAAAGAGATAAAGAGAGAGTAAAAAGTGTGAGAGAAAGAAATAAAGAGATAGAAAAAAAGAGACTGGAATATATATATATATATATATATATACATATACATATATATATATATATATATATATATATATATATATATATATATATATATATATATATATATATATATATATATAAAACAAAACCCACACTCAATAAAATTACATTTCAAACTAGTCACAACACATTACATTGCCTCTAGACACACGGTTCTGTTGTTAATATTTCGGCCTCACGCGTGGCATGACGTCATAGAACCACATCTTACGACTTGTGTCTGCTACTCCACGACTGTTATCGTCGCATAGCAAACTTCTATGTCAGTATAACAGAAATCATTTTCGATGGTGAATATATTTGTTTAAATGTCCTCATAACCACACTGAAGATGGCTTATGTGAGTCGAAAGCTTAGATAAAAAAACAACTTAATAAAATATATCCAAATGTTGGACAATTTTTGTCTTTATTATTTACCTGAAATTAAAACAACCATACGAAGTTTAGAACGGCTCTTGATGAGACATAATAGACATTCATTGTCTGTTATATTTATAACCCCCACACACACACAACACACACACACACACACACACACACACACACATATATATATATATATATATATATATATATATATATAGATAGATAGATAGATAGATAGATAGATAGAGAGAGAGAGAGAGAGAGAGCGGGGGGGAAGAGAGAGAAAGAGTTTCTACCCCAAAGTTGGGTAATTAATAAAAAGTGAGATTATTCATTTTTTGTTAGAGTGATTATAACAGAGGAGTGAACAGAGACACGTGAACACTGATTAACTTGTATTATTATGGATAAACCTCTTCAAACCTTTGTCCTTTAGCTAGAACGTTTTATATTGACTCTAGTATGTACACACACACACACACACACACACACACACATATATATATATATATATATATATATGGGTAAGTGTTTAAGCATGAAACAGATTTTCACCATCCATGTCTACACTATCTGCATACGTTCTCATAACTATAACATAACGTCAAATATATACATACGAACATTCACACGCACACACACATGCATACATACATACATGCATACATACATACATGCATACATACATACATACATACATACATACATACACAGGGGAAGAGTGCTCAATATCGGAGCAGTTACAGCCGTAGAATGTGTGAACCTATGTTGATTGTCAGTTTTACACTTCAGAGATTAAACTAAATCAAGAAAGACATGGTCTGGCGATCGCATTGAAGACTGAAACTGACACTCACACTGCAGTGTTCATACGTATGTCCCTCTTTCACTTTCGTCGTTCACATATATATATTTATATAAGTAATTTTTTGAAGTAGTTAATAGTTTTATATTTTATCCGACATTCATTTCCGATATATATATATATATATATATATATATATATATATATATATATATATATATATATATATATATATATATATGATAAATGTATGTGCGCGCGTGTGTAAGTATAAAGAAATGTTCTCGACCTGATCAAGAAGGAAATTAATAAAAAATATTTGACAATTGTTTGTTCACATTTGAGGGAAGGAAATTGGACACGAATAGAATGAGATAGATAGATAGATAGATAGATAGATAGATAGATAGATAGATAGATAAAGAAAGAGAATAAATTTAGATAGCTAGCTCGATAGAAAGAAAGAAAGAAAGAAAGAAAGAAAGAAAGAAAGAAAGAAATGTTCACGGTCCTATCAAGGAGAGATCAACTTCTGAAGTTTGATTATTTCTTCAGTTTTTGTGAAATGGGTGGGTCCGACAGCTTTTCAGCACCCCCTTCCAATGCTTGGATATAATTTGATTTATTTATATATATATATATATATATATTTAGATGCATTCATACTGCGGGCCTTTTCTTCCTTATTTCCTTCTTTCCTCGTCTAACAATTTCTGTCGTGTTAT